GCGACTAGGATTTTGTGCCTTCGTCCTTTGTGTTTGCTTCTTTTTATTCTCGGGACGGTTTTGCTCCTTCCCATTTTCTGGTACATCTGTCGTTGTTCGGTCGGGCTTCCCTCCGGTCCTTTCTAGGGCTTGTGGGTCCTCTTCCGGGCAGCTTCCGGGTGTTTGGCCTTCTTGTTCTTTTGGTCATATCTCTTCTCTTAGCGCTGTCTTGGCACTGCTCGTTTTCCTGGGGGCGATTTTACACATCTTAATGAGTGTCTTTTCGCTCCTGCCCTTCTGCAGGATGTTGGTGCGGGGCGGCTCTTTGTGCGGGTTTCTTCCACTTGTGGCGGTGGACTTGCGCGCTCGTGACTTTTTGGTTTCGGTCCTGCATTTCTTTTCCCTTCTGGAGCTGTCATCGGATTGGCTTGCGGAGGATGTAGTGGCGCTTGGGGACGTTCCTGGGGCTGGCACCTTGGTTTCTGCTGCTAGCTTTCGGTATTCATGTTCCTTCTGCGCCGTTTCGTAGGCTGTCTCGTGCGTTGTTTCACCTCCGGCGTGCCCATGCACTGCCTGTGCCGTCTTGGTCTTTGGTCAGGGTGCTCTCCTGTCTTTCTTCTCCTTGGTTTGTTGTGGCTCTTTCGGTTCAGGATTGCTTTGCTATGGCTCTTTTTCCTGTTGGCGTTGGCCTCTGGGGGGTCGTGTGGCGGAGCTTCATGCTCTTCTCAGGCGCAGTGGTTTTTTGTTCCTATGGTCGTAGTCATAGGTTTGTTCGTCTGCAGCTGTCTCCCTTTTTCTGGCAAGGGATGTGACTGCTGCTTTCCGGAGGGGTCCTTGGGTTGTTGTTGCTTGGGTTGTCAGGCTAGGGGTTCATCTTCTGTTGTGTCCGGTTGCAGCCCTCCGCCGTTATCTGGGCGCCACGGCTTCTGTGTCCGGGGACGCGCTTTGGGTTGATCCGGTTTCCCTTCTTCCCTGTTCATGGGTTCGGGTCTCGGGTAGTCCGCGGGGTTATTAAATCTCGCCAGCCTGCGGTCTATCCCCATGCCCATGTCGTTTGTAAGTTTGCTGCTCTAGTTGCTGTCTTCGGCGATGGGTCTTGGGCTGACATTTGGGCACGGGCACGTTTTTGGCGGTCGGGCAGTCCTGGCTGCGCTCTTCCTTGTGAACGTTGCTGGGCCCAGTCGGGCCTGTGTTGGTTTTGGTCTGCGGATGCAGCCTGTTGTCTCGACTTTGTGTTGAGGAGTGGAGCACCAATCGCCTCCCGGGTATGTCCCCTTGTTTTCTTAGGTAGTCTTTGGTGAAGTAGCTCCGAGGAGTCGTAGGGGCTCCCCCCAGAAAACCAGCGTTGAATGTAATGAAACGCCATTTTCTGGTTAAGTCCCGGAGGCTCCCCGGCACCTTCCTGTCCTCCGGTCGGCGTTTTTTATTTGGTTTTGATATCCAGCCTCAGAACTGGGGCAGGGATCGCCGACGCGGGGGTCTGGGGCTCCCTCTTCCCCCTCCCAGGGAGGGGGGAGCTGCGCAGACATGCGGCGCGGTTCATGTGACGTCATGCTTGTTAGTTCGTTTTTCATGGGGAGTTCTGTCCACTCGTTTGCCGATTTTTGTTGTTAACCAGAATAGGGGTTTGTTTTGTGGTGCTTACCTTTCTGGGTGCCTGTTCCAGTCGATGGCAGATATAGAATGCTCCAAATCACATGTGCAATTCTATGGGCCATTGCTCCCTGTGCCTCTGTGGGGGGGGGCCAGGTTCTTGCTCATGGTCCCCAGTAGGCCTAGAACTCCACCCACATCGACTGATGCAATATAGTAAGGGTATCCACATCAGCCATGGATAGCTCCGTGGAGCCTCCAGGACTCACCCAGAAAATGGCGTTTCATTACATTCAACGCTGGTTTTTTAATTATACATTAAATTTTTGTAATTATATTAAAGGTAAAGAGGAGTGCACTTATGGATGCAAATTGAATTGCAATATTTCATGAATGCAAATCTTCAAGAGTGAAACGTTCAGTGAACTACAAAAAAACTATTTGAGTTTGCTATTGACTGTGTCAGAGTAAATGGTTTAGCATTAGGGTAAATGAAGGTTGTGTTGTCAGGATATTTAAATGGCTTAACCTTTTAACTGCACAACATGCCTGCAGGCCTACGTCTGGGGTGCGCTACGCCCCTCCAGGTATTTGTATTTTTCACGTTCTATTCAAAACTCCCGTGGCTACATGGGGTTCACATCAGCTTCCTCAGGGCTTTTGTAAACAGACACCATCTTTAAAAAAAATAATGGTCCACATTCCCAGGTGTGAGAGCCTCAGTAGTGAGTGAGCAACCAAGGCTGGCGCTCGCAGCATGACAGCACAGCACTGCTGTTCAGCGTGTAACTACAGCATCGCCTAATAATATCAAAATATATATATAACCTGTATTATTTAGCCATGATAGTATTATAGAAGAGCTTGAGTGTAATAATGACTGGGTACATTGTTCAAATATCAGTGATTCAATGCTGTTCACGATGTTCACAGCGCTAGCCACATCACCACAGCATTATTTCGTCCATCTAGGAATCTTCAAACGACTTCTTAGGTTCATTTTCAAAATAAACTTGTGGTTAATTATTCATTTACAGGAATTAGTGATCAGGATTGTGGTTATAATTAGCGCTGTGCATAGTATTGTGGAAGGAGGAATTTTGGTGAGGGAGGGAGGAAGGGATATTGATATTGATAATTGAGATGGCTGCCTCCACTGTGTGTGGCAGCCACTCTTGTTTTGCTCACCATACTAGCTTCGTGGTTCGCTATGGGGAACCACGAAGTGTATAGTCTGTAAACAGTGTATAGTCTGTAAACAGTGTATAGTCTGTAAATAGATTGTATATATACATAAATTACCATGATACATGGTAAATATGTGCAACATATGTGTACACAAGTGTCATGCACGTAACACAGTGTCCTCGGACAGTACGGATGTTTTACTGCCATAATATAGTGTATGTGTTCATTATACATATGATTAGCACATAAAAACAAATAAAATGTATTTGGAACTGTGCGCAAAAAATGAACAAAAATATATTCGCGGCAACTCGCACGCTTTGCCCCGGGTACCCTACTGGCCCCGGGAACGTACGTCATGGGCGAACGGGAAATGATGATGTCACGCGCCAACTTACGGACCCCATAGCAGCCAAAGTAAGTACAATTTCAAAATTTTATTGACATACCCATACTGAGGGAAGAGTTTTTCACACTTTAAAAAATCTCTGTCTGTTATAAATACTGTTAATACTCTGTCAATCTGCAGAAATCTGTGGCTTAACCCTCAAACCGCTAGGGGCCCAAATGAAATTCACACCCACAGGCGCAACAAAAAAAAAAATTCCAAAAAATTCTTTCGTCTTATAGAAGTGTTCATTTTTGTTCCCTGATCACGGAAAAAATAACAAAAAAATCGTAGGTGGCATATTTTAGCCGCAATAGGGTAGGGAAGTGTGGCAAAAAAGGGGCGTTGGCAGAGCCTCCGCCCGAGCTGTCAGACGGCAGTTGCCACAAATATATAATTACCTAATTATTTCAATGTCTCTGATTGATTTTTTCTTAGTTTTTTTGCAGTAATATTATTCTATACAGTGAATTGTGGTATATTTATATTATAAAATGTGTGAACCATCGCTGTACTCAAAATTATGGTGTGCATATTAGTGATAAAATTATTATGTTCATAAAACAATAAACAAATAGTTTTGCTGTTGTTACACTATATACACAGGTTATATATAAGTATTTGCATGTTTTGTGCACCATAACGAACTACTAAGTTGGTCTTGTGAGTCAAAAAGCAACGAGGAGTGACCGCCAAACACCAGCGAGCCACTCATTGCCACTCCCTCCCTCAACACCACCTCGCTCACCCTCATTCACCTCCTACAATACTCTTTCTGTATTTATTCACTATACACAGACGTTATATATACGTATTTACATGTTTTGTTCACCATAACTTTACATCTAAGCTTGTATGGTGAGTAAAGGCCACAAAGACGTAGCTACTCACACAGTCAGCTGATCGGCGGCCGCCCTCAAGGCCAGACGCACTAATATTTGTCCTTCAACAATACTGTTTGTGGTGTTATTACGCTATATACACATATTATATATAAGTATCTACCTGTTTTATTCACCATACCTGAACAAATAAGCTGGTATGGTGCCCAAAGACTATTGTGGTCACCAGTAAACAACATGATAAGTCGTGCAGACGACGCCACCGCCCTCACCAAAATGGCGGCTCCCAACCTACTCCTCTTGCTGTTTATACCCTATATACACACGTTATATATATAAGTATCTACATTTGTGTTCACCATATCGAACCACAAAGCTGGTATGGTGAGTGCAGTCAATAAATGGTGGCCACACACAGTCAGAAGACGACGCCACAACCCTCCCTCGCACAGCCTTAACGCCTCCCTCCATGGAGCACAGCGCTAAATATCACCACAATCCTGCTATTATCAGAATCCTGGTCAGTTTTATCACAGTCAGGGGGCTTCAGTAATACTCTCACTGCTAAATAATAGCAGTATCATATATATTATGGTATTTGTAGGCGATGCTGTGGTCACAAGCTGAACAGCGGTGCTGTGAGCTCGTGCTGCGTGCGCCAGCCTTGGTGGCTTGCTCAATACTGACGCTCTCACACCCAAGAATGTTGGCCTGGATTTTTTTTCTAGGTGGCATCTGGCAACTATCGGTCGTGGCTGTACTATAGCTGCCCCTATCCCAGGCGGGGAGTTTAAATTATAGCGCTAGACACGAAATCATATATAAATGATGTGCGTGGTTTCGGTTTTGTCACTGATATCATTTATATATGATATGCGCGGTTTGAGGGTTAAAAGATACTTTGCTGATTTACAGTTATCTGTGCTGGTCTTGATATGAATTGACATGCAGTTATACCATATACCTGGTTTGGACTGTAGTGATTAAGTTGTACTCACTTTTCACAACAGGTATGGTACGACCGAAAGAATGATTTATTTGTCCTTAAGTGGATGGAGAACATGAAACTTGACTTTGCTGACAAGGAGGGATTCCTGAAAGCCCAAAGACTTCAGAACAAGGTTTTTGCTGAGTGAGTATTACTTGTAAGAGCTGGGGTTTTTAATCCTTAGGCCGCTAAGGGCATTTTTGGGCCTTCAACACCCACAGGTGCAACAAAAAAAAGTCCAAAAAATTCTTTTATCTCATAAAAGTGTTCATTTGTGAAACCTGATCGTGGGAAAAATTAAAAAGAAAAAATTGTAGTGTGCATAGGGTGGGGAAGTCGGGCAAAAAAGAGACGTTGACAGAGCAGGCACCAGACGAGGTCTGCTCCGCCCCAGCTATCAGACGGGAGTTGCCACAAAGATATTTTTACCTAATTATTTCAATGTCTAATTTTTTTTAGTTTTTTGTTCAGTAATATTATTAAATAGTGTTATGATATGATATATATATATATATATATATATATATATATATATATATATATATATATATATATATATATACATATATATATATATATATATATATGTACATATATCACGAAAATAAACACGTGATTAAGAATGTGACAATGTCAGACCACGGAGGAAAAATGAAACAGGAATTTCCTTAAGTACTTTCGTATATTAAATACATCTTCAGAAGGTGTATATACACCTTCTGAAGATGTATTTAATATACGAAAGTACTTAAGGAAATTCCTGTTTCATTTTTCCTCCGTGGTCTGACATTTGTCCACGGTGTATATACACCTTCTGAAGATGTATTTATATACGAAAGTACTTAAGGAAATTCCTGTTTCATTTTTCCTCCGTGGTCTGACATTTGTCATATATATATATATATATATATATATATATATATATATATATATATATATATATGTCGTACCTAGTAGTCAGAACGCACTTCTCAGCCTACTATGCAAGGCCCGATTTGCCTAAAAAGCCAAGTTTTCATGAAATAATTGTTTTTCGACTACCTAACCTACCTAACCTAACCTAACCTAACTTTTTCGGCTACTTAACCGAACCTAACCTATAGAGATAGGTTAGGTTAGGTTAGGTAGGGTTGGTTTGGTTCGGTCATATATCTACGTTAATTTTAATTCCAATAACAAAACATTGACCTCATACATAATGAAATGGGTTGCTTTATCATTTCATAAGAAAAAAATTAGAGAAAATATATTAATTCAGGAGAACTTGGCTTATTAGGCAAATCGGGCCTTGCATAGTAGGCTGAGAATTTCGTTCTGGCTACTAGGTACGACATATATATATATATATATATATATGTCGTACCTAGTAGCCAGAACTCACTTCTCAGCCTACTATTCAAGGCCCGATTTGCCTAATAAGCCAAGTTTTCCTGAATTAATATATTTTCTATATTTTTTTCTTATGAAATGATAAAGCAACCCATTTTCTCTATGTATGAGGTCAATTTTTTTTTATTGGAGTTAAAATTAACGTAGATATATGACCGAACCTAACCAACCCTACCTAACCTAACCTAACCTATATTTATAGGTAAGGTTAGGTTAGGTAGCCGAAAAAAACTAGGTTAGGTTAGGTTAGGTAGGTTAGGTAGACGAAAAAAACATTAATTCATGAAAACTTGGCTTATTAGGCAAATCGGGCCTTGAATAGTAGGCTGAGAAGTGCGTTCTGGCTATTAGGTACGACATATATATATATATATATATATTGAATATGACTGCATATTCTGTATTTATTATTTTCTGGTTTAGGGCTTCTATCCCTCTTAACTATTTTCTTAGCATCAGGGCTTAATTGAAATAGGAGTTCTCCAAAACTCATTTTCGTACTTTTAAGGTGAAGAAAAGAAGTGATTTACTATAGAGTGTATTACACTTATTTGTATAATTTGCACGACGTTTCGAACCTCCATGGTTCATTCTCAAGTGAACAGATCTTACAATACTGGTTGATTTTATACCCGCATTAGGTCAGGTGATAATACAATGAAGGTGAAAACATGGGGGGATACATAAGGGATAAAATCCAGTGTAATTGGCCTGTTATGTTGGACATTGTCTTCTGTGTTGGCATCGATATGTTCTTGTCTTGTCCTTACTCTCATGGTGGGTAGAGTAAATAGTTCCGTGATTTGAGTGTTCATGGTAGGTCGCTCTACAGTATTCTTATGTGAATTGCCTCAAGAATTTGTAATCTTCTTGAATCTTGGGTTTTGTCTATTATGCAAGTATTCTTGTTCAACATTTCTCTTGTTAGAGTAATGTCATGGGCTTGTCTCATGTGATTCCTAGGGGCACCAGATTGAAGATGGCATGTCAAACGCCTCGTCAGCTTGGTCGACGTCATACCTATGTACTTACATTGAAGGTTACATCCTTCGTGGGGGCAAGTGTACATGTATACAACGCTTGACTGCTGTAGAGGATTCTCCGTCGGCTTCGGGCTGTTTTTGATAAGGAGTTCGGAAGTCTTCTTGGTTTTGTAGAATATTATCAGGTTTATGTTTTGGTTAGGAGTAGTGCTTTTTACTCCTTTATGGATTATTTCTTTCATTATTCTTTCCTCTTTTATATGTTCACTGTGCATGGTTGATTTGTAATATAATTTTATTGGGGGTGTTGTGGTTTCTGTTCTAGGTTCTGAATTATACCAACGGTCCAAGTGTCTTCTTATAGCAGCGTTTATTTCCGCGTTGCTATATCCGTTGTTCACCAATTCCTGAGTTACTCTTTCAAACTCTCTACTCACGTCATAACGTGAGTAGAGAGTTTGAAAGAGTAACTCAGGTATTGGTGAACAACGGATATAGCAACGCGGAAATAAACGCTGCTATAAGAAGACACTTGGACCGTTGGTATAATTCAGAACCTAGAACAGAAACCACAACACCCCCAATAAAATTATATTACAAATCAACCATGCACAGTGAACATATAAAAGAGGAAAGAATAATGAAAGAAATAATCCGTAAAGGAGTAAAAAGCACTACTCCTAACCAAAACATAAACCTGATAATATTCTACAAAACCAAGAAGACTTCCGAACTCCTTATCAAAAACAGCCCGAAGCCGACGGAGAACCCTCTACAGCAGTCAAGCGTTGTATACATGTACACTTGCCCCCACGAAGGATGTAACCTTCAATGTAAGTACATAGGTATGACGTCGACCAAGCTGACGAGGCGTTTGACATGCCATCTTCAATCTGGTGCCCCTAGGAATCACATGAGACAAGCCCATGACATTACTCTAACAAGAGAAATGTTGAACAAGAATACTTGCATAATAGACAAAACCCAAGATTCAAGAAGATTACAAATTCTTGAGGCAATTCACATAAGAATACTGTAGAGCGACCTACCATGAACACTCAAATCACGGAACTATTTACTCTACCCACCATGAGAGTAAGGACAAGACAAGAAAATATCGATGCCAACACAGAAGACAATGTCCAACATAACAGGCCAATTACACTGGATTAATCTTTGTGTTTAGATAGGAGATGCCTCGTATGGGCCAATAAGCCTTCTGCAGCCCCTATGTTTATCCCTTATGTATCCCCCATGTTTTCACCTTCATTGTATTATCACCTGACCTAATGCGGGTATAAAATCAACTAGTATTGTAAGATCTGTTCACTGAGAATGAACCATGGAGGTTCGAAACGTCGTGCAAATTATACAACTAAGTGTAATACTCTAAATTTTTCAAACCAGCCCCTGCTTGCCTTAAACTCTTTCTTATCTGCATCACTCGTTGCAGGGGTATTCTTTAGAAGGTCTTCGTGCAACACCCTGGCTTTCTCACAAATAATGGCCTCCGAAACACTATCACCCCTCAACTCCTTGTCGTGTATCCAAATTAATAACAACTTTTCCACTTCTTCAAGTATTTGTGGTCTTTGTGCCGTTAATGTTCTTACTCCTTTTGCCACTTTAGCACCCATAATCTTATTTTTCTTCTTAAGTATAGTGCATATTGTTGATGTGGCTTTGTTGTACTGCCTACAAAGTTCAACAACACGTGTACCCTTCTCATGCTTCCGAATGATCTCTTGTTTCTCCTCTATTGTCATCCTCACATGAGCTTTCTGGCCTTTATCCTTACCACTGGCTTTCTTGGGACCCATGGTGAGATATATAATAACAAATTGTATAGACAAATCACCAAAAATCCAACAAAACACTGAAAATCCGCGAGAAGAATTGATGTGGGGGTAGTCACTGAGCGCGAGACAATAATAAACTGAGGGGCGGCGGGGCGGAGGGGCGACGATCGCCGAACCGCCACGCGCTAGGTCGGCTGTACGCGTATCAACAAACTCGCGTCCAAACTCGCCTCCCGAAGTAACCATCGCCTTCCGAGACAAATTTTTGGAGTAAATACACCTCGCCTTCCGAAAACCTCGCATACAGGGACAATCGCATTCCGAGGTACCACTGTACATATATATTTTGACATTTTTAGGCAATGCTGTGGTCACAAGCTGAACAGCGGTGCTGTGAGTTCATGCTGCGTGTGCCAGCCATGGTGGCTCACTCAGTACTAAGACTGCCACACCCGGGAATGTTGCCCACAAATTTTTTTCTAGGTGGCATCTGGTAATTATCGGTCATGGCTGGACTATAACTGTCCCTATCCCTCGTTAGGCATTTAAAATCGTGCGCTAGAGCTTCAATCGTTTATATATGTATTGCGCAGTTTCGGTAAACTTACTCCCATCATCTATATATGTTTTGCGCGGTCTAAGGGTTAAATAGGTAATTTTGGTTTGTTATATATTTTTATTAGATTGGTATGATTAAGTCTACATATCTTAATCTTGAGAAGTATTTACCTCTTGTTATTGAATAGATCTTCAGATGTTGTAATGTTTTAGCTATTATTTATTGTTACATATAAAATATTAATATCAGGACAATAACAAACTCTGCTCTCAGACAACACACAGCTTCCCTGTTTAAATCCCTAAACATGCTAAACATAAATTCACTCCATACATTCTCTTGTGTTAATTACATTTATAAAACCCTTTTTTTTAAGTGCAAACCCTGTACTGAAACTCTTCCTTGACAGATGTA